CAAAACTTTTTGGCTGTGAGGACAGTCAAGCATTGAAGCAACTTGCTTGCCCAAGGAGGCTGTGCAGTCTCATACAGCTTCCCTGGCTGTATGTAGTTTGTTAGAATGGGATCAGAAGCAAGTTACAGTGAAGGCTGTAACAAGTCTGGGAAACAAATACAGACCTGCTCATGAATTATAGCAATTGCAGATGATTACACTGCAGACAGTGTAATTAAGATTTTTTTTTTTTTTCTCCCTTCTTCCCCCATGCATGATTGATACTGGATCACAGTTATTGTGACATGAAAACTTGAGAGGGGCATCAGAATGGATTGGGGATGTGGCCAGACTTCATTGGGTAGGTTACATGTCGCTGGGAGTGCAATGTGCTCTCCTCGCAGTTTACCTCTGACATCCTCTACATATCCCCCGGCTGCATGCAGAAGACAAGTAAAACCTAGATATGCACCCATTTCTGAAAAGCTAGCCTTTTTTCTAGAACCACTAACTCTAATTAGGCCAATTTTTTTGCTTACCTTACTGTTGTCTGCTTCACAGTGTAACCTATTGCTTGTCTGTACTGACTTTTTATCTGCCTATTGATAGAGCTTCCTTTAAAAGACCTTTTTCACCTGTCCATCTGTCAGAGATTTTCCTTCTTTGTCCTTAAATTGATCCATCCATATGCTTCTATCACTTCATTCTGAAGATGCTGTTCTCTTCTTTACTATGTTTAGAAGACTGAGGTCTGTGAGCTTTATGATGAAGTATTTAAAATACTTTGTGTACTTTAGGTAGTATGTGGGCTTTGCTTGAATTAATCATGAAGAAATCAAAAATTTACCTGTTCTGGTCTGTTAATTTGCCCAATCTCTTCCTAAAGATGCATTCAGTAACAGAAGAAAAAGTAGTTAAATATTTTAATTCCTGTACTTTAAATAGTATAATAATTTAATTATATCTCAATTTTAATTTCAACTGTGGGTCAGTCTTGTTAAATTGAAATAATTATCTGATGTTGGACCCTTATCCCTTTATTTCTGGTCACTACCAAGGGACTTTACAGTCCAAGGTACTGCTATGTTAGAAATTCTCCAGTACATTTTCTGCTGCTTATACCACTAACACTTCATTTCTTCTGTGCTCTCTGCTGTTGCTTGAGAAACACTAATTTTTTTAGGCCAGCTGGGAAGCTGAACGGTAGCAGTATGGAATATCTCATCGTTGTTTCTTCAGTGCTTCACCTTGAACTTCATGTCAGTTCTGGGAGAGCAGTGCAGTTGATGCAACTGAAGTTTCTCTTCTCACATTGTCCCAGGGGAAATGCTGCCTGCTAGCTAGCTGCAGTGAGCTCTCTGCCAACACATATTGGAAGAAAAGGGGCTGGAGTTTTTCTGGTTGTTTATACTCTACGGTAACTGTAGTTATTTGCAGTCTATAGTAATAGATTTTGTGATCCATCTGTGCTTCCCTTACATTTCAGCGCCAGGGAGAAAGGGGATCATGCCTGTCTCTTGTTCCATTATGTGTGTGTGTTCTGGATAGATATTGCTATTTCAGTCAAAATTAAGCATGAGATCACCTGCAGAAGTGGAAATATTGAGAACCATGTATATTAGTGAAACATTTTAAAACAGGAATGTGTTTTCTGGACTCCTTGTATGGCTCTGAAAGATTGAAAACTTTTCATAGTGACTGTTGAACTGGAAGCTGTTATCAACTGTGTTACTAGTCTATGTGTTCCAGCTTTGGCCTGTATCCTTTTTGGCATTCACTTACATGTGAATTCATAGCATTTTTTAAAACAGAACTATCTATTATAGTATTGAAAAATTCATTTTGGTGAAGTCCAGTTCATAAAATCTCCTTGTAGAAAACTTAAGAACAGCAAATTTTGAAAGCATCTGTTACAAGTTGTTAAATGTAAAGAGTAGATGAAGCCTCTTTTTGAAGTATGATAAAGGACATATTTCTGGTTATTGCCTTCATAGAAAAACAAACATTACTAGTTTTTTAGGCACAGGCAATAAGGAATGGTCAGATTTATGGTACCAAAAGCTTAGTTCTAAAAGGAACTCCAGTGAGTGGGATGAAATTATTCAAAGTAGAAGCTACAGAATGCAGACTTCATTAAAGATCAGTAATTTACTTAACTTATGTATTCCCTCAATCACTTAGTGCTCAAAGAACAAATGTTTTAATTTTGTGAGAGGCAAAGTAAAAATGTAGTTGAAACACATCTAAGTGCGAAGCTCACTTGGTAGAAATGGTTGAGTCATGAGGGTAGTGCTATATATTGTTAGGTTAATTAATGAACTTGATTTATTGCCTATAACATAGATTTTAAAGTCTGTACAGCAGTGCATGCATCAGTATGTTTGCAGTATACTCATTTGTGTGGGCCATGTCAACTACAGGCAATAATAGAAACTCCTGATCTAAAGTATTAACTGCCTGTATAGAAAGTTATGTACTAGCATAAGTATTTCACAAGAAGTAATCTTCTAAAGTGATGCTGAGTGTGTCCTTGTAAGACTCTTGTTGCATTTAGTGAAAGGCAGCCTGCCTGAAGAACTTTATCACCTTTACAAAAATACAGATACTGAGTGATTTCATTGCCCCTTCAGTTACAGCTCACCTTTAGTTTCTGAACCTAATAGAGTCCTTAAAAAAATATCAACTGAAATTTTTGTCCTGAACAGCTTCTTATTAGAGACTAACTTTCCAAAGTCTTTATTCTGCCCGTTTTCCCATGAACTTTTTGATCTGTAATCCTGGACTTAGAGGTTTAAGTCTGAACTATCTCTTTAGCAAAGAGAAGGGATGAATGAATTTTCTTTAACCATTTTTTCAGTGTCTAAGAATTCCATCTTCACATTATTAATTTCTGATCACAAATGTAACTACAATTTTCTTCCTACTACTTGAGTTTTGTGGTCTTGGTATTTACTTTTATACATAAATGTACTAAAAAGGTGAGAAAGTGTCTATTTTTAAATGACTTCATATTGAAAATGCAGCAGATCCACAAACACTAAAATATGACTTTCCTGTTTTTATGTAGGTAAGGTTTTCTTTTTAAGCATTATTCAAATCGGAAATCTTCCACTAGTCATTAACTTCTTTATAGTTCTGTCTGTCTTTATATTGAAAACTTTCCTTCTACTGATTTGGAAGTATGACTTGCAAGATCACAATTCACGTTTTCTTGCTGTTGCTGCATTAAGTATCTTTTTTCTATTTCTTATTAAATTGCATCTTCAGCCATCTCACTTATCCCAGTACTGTAGTCCTTCTTTTTCAGGACCTCTTTATTTCACTCTAAATTCTCTTTTAATCTTCTAAGCATGTGATTTAAATTTCTCCTGTTTAAGAAATTAGGATTTTTTTGTGCTTGACTAACAAAACAGAACCTGACATTAAAATGAGAATTATGGCCACATAGATCTCAAAGCTGGCTGCTTGCTTATAGTTTCAAATGTGAGAGCAAACCTGTGGATACATAAGAATGTTTCTCAGATGATTTTGCTCTCATTAGTAGTCACGAGGATCACTTTGAGAGCAATAACTAAGTGAACTAAACCATGGGGATATGTGAAGCTGGATCTTGAGTGTGTAAGTGTGTGTATCTATATGGAAATTTATGGAAAAACCTTTAAATTGGAAGGACCTTTAGATGGAACAATGTTTATGAAAATGAACCCTGAGAGGCTAAACAGGCTTCATTGTTTGAATTCAGCCCTAAGACTAACAAACAAGAAATGATGAAGCTTTATGAAATTCTAAAACTTAAGTTTGCAAAACTGCTGTCCAGTATATTTTTTCACTTTGTAGAGTGTCTTGGTAGAAGTCTACTGAGGTATATAATGTAACCACTGTAAGGATAAAATAAATATCAGGTAATACCATTCAGTCTGGTATCTGGAAATGCTTTGAATTATTGCAAACTGGGACTTGTGATGAGGTTGATGGAACAGAACAGTTTTTTCAGTATGTTGCTTTGCTTGAATGGCAGGTGGCATGTGTGGTGCATTACTTAAAACCAACCAAAAACCTGTTTTGAGCTTGAATTCTTGACTAGTAGAACTGTATGCTCCAGGGCTGTTACTAAACACATTAGAAAGAATAATCTGCATTGTATGTTTAAAAGAAAATCATGGAGATGGAATATATGTATTTTGGTTAGTGGTTATTCTGTTGCCTATGGCTATAATATGGTGGGCTTTGAACTTGTCACCTCAAACTAAGCAGTTTTGACCCTGGGCAGCATGTTCAGTGGGAAACTTCATAGACAAATGGATACCTTCCAGTTTCCAGTTGCAGTTTTTCTTTTGTTCTATCTCATGTACAGCTGATTGTGTTTTATTTTTTTAAATTTATCTTCCTTTTGGTGTATCTTTACAGCTATATAAAGAAAAAACCTGTAAAAAAACTTGCATGCAAAAAAACCCCAACCCTGTAATGCCAAATATAGATGGTAGTTTTTAATTTTTCTGACTTCTATTTGATCAGGGTTTCTGTAACAGCTTCCTTTGCTTTTTTTTATTTGAATAGGTTATATGGATCTTTAGATAAATTATCTCATTTCTTGAGTAAGTGCATGCATTTGATACGTGTTCCCTTGAACCTTTTCATGGTGACAAAATGTCTATCTGATTCATTATACTAAGAGGAACACAGAGTTGGTGGGGAATTGAAGTTACACTGCTGATTTCGTATTCTTAGTTTTCTGGTTGTTTATGCAGGATCAAGTCCTGACTTAGTGATTGATTCACCCTACAGAGATGCAAACTCTTTCATAAAATAGGTAATATGGTCTGTTGGGGAAACCAGAAAATGTAATTAGTCCATGGTAAATTTACTGCTGGACCATGTCTCTGCTAATGGACCAGTGTTGCATAGCCTTTCTAGTCTTTAAAATCAGCTTGTTACAGCACTGAGATGCCTGCTCAAAGTGGTTGCATTGCATTGCTGTAGCACTTGTAATTTAACACAATTTTTTCTTTTTCTTTCTAAAGGCGCCTAAACAGAAATAACCTCCAGTTGCTTTCTGAACTGCTCTTTCTGGGGACACCGAAGTTATACAGGCTGTAAGTAGGCATGACCCAATAACTATTACACTGGAAACTTTGGAAATGATCTGTCACTCTTACATTAGTTTTTGTCTTTTGTGTCATTCAGGGCTAAAATGCATCTAAGAACATAAATGTTTTGTTTAAGATGAGTACTTTCTTTCACTGTTTTGCAAGATTTTTTTTTTTAAAATCTAGGTTAGATACTTAGATTTTTGTTTCATATAACTATTTCATCCATTCCCAATACTGTAATGAAGTTTTGCTGAAAGAATACTTTGGCTTTCATTTTCTCTTGTTTGTGTTTCGATTTTTGTGTTAAAAGAAATTAAAAAATGCTAGTGGAGATTCTGACCCAGATATATAGCACTGTATAGCATTTAGGTTTTGTGATGTTCTGGTTTTGTGACTGTACATGCTTGACCAGAAAAATCATAGTGTTGGCAAATGGTAGGTCTGTGAAGTCTCTCCTGTGTCCACTCACAAAGAAAACAAAGTTAGTAACTTAAGCTCTGGGAAGAAAAAGCTATGAAATGTTTTACCTTAAAAACTGTATCAAATTGGGTAATAAGATTTTGTTTTGACTGTTCTTTGGTTTGATTATGTTTTACTCTTGGAAATATTTTTAAATTAATGTTTTGACTTATTGGCCCTTTTAAGAATCCACTTATTTCTGTTGCAGTAAAAACATGGGAGGAAGTTTACTGATTTCTTTATTTATCTACATGATCAATTATTGTAACAAAATAGATTTTTAAGTTACCTTTATGTTACAGTTGTGGTATGGAAGGGATACAACATGACATGCTTAAGTAGGCTTTGAAAAGGTTGTACAAATTCAGCCCCGTTTTAAGTAGATACATATTTGACACATTTCTTTAGACTTCAGGTGAGTTTTCTTCTGCTGCTGAAACTTTATTGAATTTCACTCCTTTTTCTGCTTGGAAAAAGAGTGAAGGTGGTATTGTTCTGATTTGTTTTCACGTCAGTATATGGAAATATTCTTGAGAACAAATGGTGTAATGAAGCTTTTATTTTTAGGAGTTGATTTCTGTTTCAATATGGTGAAATAATAGTTCTTTTCTCCTGTTTCATAGTAATATGAGATGGTAAGCTGAAAATGACTCTATTAAGTGTAAACATTGAGTTGTGTATTTTTGTTTCTTTGCTTTACTTTGGATGTATGCTTTGTTTCCAGAACTTCCCTGTAGGTGCTACCAGTTGTTAAATTACTAGGCCAGAAAGCTGCTGAAGGCTTTTTTTCTGACAAACGAAAATATTTTACCCTGCTATAATATTATAAAACCACATAAGAATATATTATACATTAACAATTGAGTCACTTTTATAATTTCCATCAGCCATGATAAAGATATTACTTCCATTAGGAAGGAAAATGAAAGGGATTTATGATCATTTTATTATTCCACCTATAGCGTAATGGTTGCTATCTAAATTCATATAAAATAGAAATGAGCATAATTTGCAGGCAAAAAATGGATGCGCACTTCAGGCAAAATCATACTGTAACATATTTAATTCAGAATTGTATATTTGATAGATGCTAGTCTTAAATCTATAATGTCCTTTGACATAAAGCACACAACTGCTCATAGCGTATATGGTAGAAAGAGATTGCTGGCTTCACAGTATTAAATTTCCTCTGCCTAAGGGTTATTGTTGATCAGACCATGAAAGTGAATGTCTGGTTATAATGTATTCATGTTTAAAAGAAAATATGAGCAATACTGAGTCTACAGTCACTTAACACTGAATTTGTAATTAAAAAAATGTCAGGCCGACAAAGGAATTGATGCCTGTTAAATGCTCTTGGTCAGTTTTTGGATTATATGTAGATTGATCACTATGAAGAATATAAAATGATTTGGATTTTACATGTATAGTTGTATATGCTTGCATCTATTTACATACAAATAAATACATTTCTAAGGAGAAATAAAGATCTCCAAGTATGGTCAATAAAAAGTATAATATACTTTGGTTTTAGTATTTATTTTTAGCATTTAACAGCTAATCAAACAGTGTGTGTACTGTGAATTTTCAACATACTATTGAGCTTCTGTGAATAATAATTACCATTTGACCCTTGGCTGTAAATGAGATGCCAGGTGAAGAAGCACATATGCTTGTTGTGTAGTCTAAATGCAATATAAAAGAAAGAGGGTACACTGTATATGAATTATGATTAGACACAGTTGGTTGCCGCCAGCGGCCGACTATGCTTTCCCTTTGCTGTCTGCTCCAATTTCTCTTTGGACGAGTTGAGAGAGCACTGCGTGTTCAGGTCAAGATGTTTGCCTAGAAATAGTAGTACAGTTGCAGCTGTGTTTGCTGGAGCAGGAGACTAGTTTAAATAGCATTACCATTTATCCAGTCCATTAACAGAACTCTGTAAAATAATACCAACTCTGCATAAACTACAGGACAGTGTAATAAAATTACAAGCACTTGTTGACAGATGGGAAGTGTAAGTAAAGGAAAGCGATAGGTTGAGAGTTTAAAAGAGACAGTGCATTATTTTCTGTGTCTAAAGACCCTTGATTTTTCAAAGGAAATTAAATGAATTATTTTTCAGGTTACTTTCTTTCCAATTTAGCAGCCTTCCAAGAAATCTCTTGGAACTAGTTAAAATGCATAATTTCAGTCAAAGCAGAAACTTATTTTCCCATTAAGAATTATCTACAAAGGTGTTTTGACATAAATATTTCAGTGAGAAGTAATTTATGCTAAAAATAGTATGAATAGTGCTGTAGGGTATATTAATCTTACCTTGCAACGTATCTCTCAAAGCACAGTGTACATGAACCTCTGTTTTGATCCAATACTGTTAAAATGTGCTATTGTAAATCCCCTGGGGTAATATAAGTCCTTGTTCAACAAGTACTTTTCCTGCACTCACACTAACTTGTCTATCATCAGCAGTAGTACCTTAGTATGGAGAACTCCTACAGCCTAGTCAGTGCTTATCTGAGGCAGACAGACTTTGACTGCTTACTCTGGCCTGTTAGATCACAGTTCATTGATTGCCATTTGCTGCAGGATACCAAGTGCTGGACCCAAAGCTGTTTGAAAATTTAGTTTTAAAAGATACCTTTATTAATCAGTGGAATGTAAAGGTTATGGAATTCCGTGCACAAAGCTTGTCCCTTTTTGATTTACATTTCTTGTGTTTTAAATAAGGTTAAATTTCCTTACTGACCAGTATTTGCTGTATAAGTTAGGCAGTATTTGCTTTGAAAAAACATTCTTTTAGTGAATGTGGTCTGATATTATATTTTCCTTCTAATATATGTACTTGAGAAGATACACACTGTGAATGTTTCTCCTCTAAAGGAAAAAAAACCCAACTGATATAGTCTGATTAATAAACACTTGGTTTTGAGATGTCAGTCACTTTTAGAAATTTTTTTACAGCTAATAAAGGGAAAAACATGCTAGACATCAAAAAAACCTTTTTAAAAATATATCTTAGGCCAGAACAGCAGCAGCAGCAACAACAACAAAACATGCTACATGGGGGGCCCTTGCAAAAATTCCTCCTGAATTAATTTCTGCCAGCTATGATTAAAGTGTGTGGTACTAGATGTGTCAGACACCATAGTTCTCTGCTTCATTTTACTCTTGGCCTCTTTGGCCCCTGCCACAATAAATCCCACAATGGTTAGGCAGGAATTGCAGGTTACAGTTGCCAGGGTTACCGTTGTCCGGTCGGACCGACATCATTACTCATCCAGGCTGCTGCCGAGCGCCGCTGCCTACTCCCGGCGTGGGGAAGGCTGCAGGCAGCTGCCTCGAAGAGGAGGAAAGTTCTCCAGGCGGCTCTCGGGTCTGTTTTTTTGAGCTGCTGCAGGAGAACCTATGGTTTGCATCGTTTGCTGATTGTTGTTTTGTTTTCACCTTTGCCAAGAGAAGAAAAAAATATATTAGATAGGAATGATAAAAGAACAAAAAGGGGGTGTATGTAAGATGTTAAAGCAGTGAATTTAAAAATATTTTGTGGTGTTCTTATCATTAAGGTAGCTGCATTTGAAGCTTAATTTATGGTTTTGCCATGTCCCTCTTAACAGTAATCATGGAAAGTGAGACCAGTCATGATTTTGTAGAGAAGATACTTATCTTCAGTCTGAATCCATTTCAACAACTGAATAGAGAAATCGATCATTAGAAGAATGCTCGTTATCAGAAAGCCTCTGAAATATTATTCCAGCTGCAAACAGGTGGCTCTGGATGTTAAATCCAATGAGGAGCAAGAATGAATTTCCCCTTTTCAAAAGACAGTATCAATGAATCTCTTTCCTTTTGCAAGTAGATTAAAGGAACTGCTGTTGGATAAGCGTAATGTGTAGGTTTCCAGTGTTATGTGCTGCAATAACATTACAGTGTGCTCCACCTTACTGCAGAATTGTGCTACATGCACAGCAATTAAACAGAGATTTATTGGAACATGAATTATGAAGCCACCTTGTTGCTCTACCCTTCCCAGGAAAGTGTGTGGGTTTTTTAGACATTTGTTTCCGTTTTTTATTTGTTATGGGGCATTCTAGCAGTCTGCATACAAGGCAACTTGATTTTTTTTTTTTTGATAATAGATTTGAATCTTATCCTTTCAGAGGTAAATAGAAACAATTCAATCTTCCATACATTGTGTCCATCCTACTAGTGTTTTGACTTGTGTTTTTTCTACCACAGTGGCTTAGTTCAGATACGAGATTCTGTAAATTGTTCTATATAAACAATTGATAGGTTCATGAACAGTGAAGTTGTAAGACTATATCAGTTCTAATATTAGTTCTTAATTACTAGCATTATTAGCATCACTTTTGAACAGTGACTACAGTTCTTAGAAAATAATTATCTTTCAAAATTATTTAAGAGATACTGCATATAGTGTGTGTATATAACATGAGTGTATGCTTTTGGCTTGAACCTGTTAAGGTTCATTACCTATAAAAAGAAACTAAAGTAACTACAAACATGTTGCTTCTGTGCTAGATTTG